TTTAATCAATGGTTTAAATGGTTTTTCAAAAAGGAAAGTAATCGAAAGTCGTTTATACGTTTATACCAATTTATAATTGGTTTGAGTCTATCAGATGAAAATTTCCTTCACAGTCATTATCTTGCTCATATTCCTGAAAACATATATCTCAAAGTACGTGTGGAGCAATAATTTTGTATTGAGTTAGTGGCTATCATTTTGAAAATAAGAATATTCCAGATTAGATGTCTGTAACGTGCACTTGATTTTATTTATTTTATATTCTTCTGTATTGTATACAGAGTATTTAAAAAAAAAAAAAAAAGGGAGAGAGAGGGAAGGAAAACAGCTGGTACCAAAGAAGCTGTCTGGGCTGTACAAGTTTTTCAGTCAGTGGAAGTGGTTAGCCTGGGTTTCACTGTCCAAGTGCGTTTCCAAACTGAGTAGCCTGTTTTCAAGAAGTTGGTTAACATTGGTGGTTAGCTTCTCAATGGAAGAGCACTTCTATTATGCAAATCCCCCCCCCAAACAAAACGCCCAAAAACTTCAGAACCTCTCCTTAGGTGTAAATTTAATATTTCTTAGGCTGTGAAGCTTTCATTCAGGAAAGAAAAGAGTAAGAGCCAGTGAAGTTCTCACTTTAAACTGGCTTTTGTGAAAGATACCTAAAGAAATTACCTTGGTTATTTCTTGGCAGGTTTTTTTGTATTGTATTGTTATTTCTTGTAAGTTACTTATGTATTTTTATATGAACTCTGATTACACAGGACAAGTCAAATACTCTCATTGTAGTATATTCATTTGTATTGTAGGTACCTTGCAGAAATAAAAATACTTTATTTTCAAATGCAAGCACACAAGATTCCTAGTCTCTTGTTTTCTGTCTGCTGAAATGTGGCCCGTTTTGGTGAGGTGACTTTCTGCTTTTTATGCATTCAGAATGCAGAAAATGGCCGAGAGAATTTAGAAATAACTTTTAGATGGAGATTCAATCCATTGAAAATTCCAGGTTCAGCTTGAAGTTAAGAACATCTATAAAGTTATGTCGGTTACATTAGGTAACTATCACACGTTTCCCATGCAGGTTTCTTGTACGTGTTTGGACTTAGCCCAGATGCGCAGACAGGGCATACAGGAGATCCGTGTCCTGCACTTGGTTCTCTGCTGCAATGTTTCCCCGTGCAGGGATTTTTGCCAATGGCAGATTGCAGGACAGTAATGTACATAGTTCACAGCTGCTTTTAACTGCTTTTTCAAAGGACCTGCTAACTTGGACATGTGACAGGGATTGCCAGACTGGAGAGACAATGCTTCCCTTTTGATATGTGAGCAGTTGGCCAGCGAGCTTTCCTTGCCCCTACCAGCCTGTCTCCTTGCTTTGGTGATGGCTTTCATTTGTCCCTGTTCAAACTCACAGAGAAGGTTGGATATTTCCCAGTGGCTTACTGTTTTTTTTCCCTGCTATTCCTTACAAGACCTGCTGATTTATGACAGAGATGTGTTTAGATGCTCTCAATATTGGTCACTTTCATGAGTTCTGCAGATAAAACAATGCTTTTGTCTAACTCAGCAAAGCTGGGGCTACATCTGATGCGTTCATATCACAGCAAGCATTTAAAATTCATCTTTCATGGCCAGTTAAAATGTGGTGAACATCTGAGAGACCAACTAGGGGAATGTAATAAAAACATGTTTGCAGTAAATATTCTTCTGTGTGGCATCAAGTTTATACATGGGAGATAGCTGACAAAAATAGTCATCTTAAATATCAAATTATATTGGTGCCAATTAAGCTACAATGAGAAATGCCTTTGTGGAGTACAAACTGAAGCTTTATCTGTGGCCACTAATATGCAGCAAAACCAGACTAATTTCCCTAATGAAACTATGAAAGCCTCACAAACTGTATCATCGCTGCTTCGTAGTTTAAATAATAATAAAAAAAGCATTGGTTTATTTCCTCTTTTTTCCCCTTCTTTTTATTCCAGTAAGTGTTGCCTTTTGAGTATAGTCCCTTTGTCCTCCAGTAAAACCTTGGGAGGCAGGTAGAACTTGTGAACTCTGGGCTTACTGTAGTTGAGTTCAGGTGACAAACTTGTTGTTGTTGTACTTTTTTTTTTTCTTTCCCTCCTGAGTTTTACAGAGAGAAAGACCCTCTTTGTCTGGTTACCAAGAACATACTCTATTAAGTAGAAAAGTTGAACTTCAGTGGAACTTCAGCGCTGAGTTTTGACCTGTCTTCTAACGTAGTGTACAAGAACTTGGGTTCTTAAACTATCGAGACAAATCAGCAAGAAAAAAAGAATTTACACTGACTAGATATCCAATATTTTCTGTAAATTGAAGACACCAAAACACATTTCTTACAGTGGTAAAGATAAAAATCTAACAGACGTACAAGTTAACGCTATATACGAACATGAAGATTACCTGTGTTAGCTATACAATAGTATATCATTTTAGCAGTTCCTAGGAGACTGCGTGATCTTGTGCTGTACAGCCAATGTGTTCTCAATTTTTTCAACAGAACAAAAAAATCGATGTAACCATAATATTTTGTTTTGGATTCATAGACAGGTATCAACACCAGAAAGTCAGAATATTTTGTGTACATCTTCTTTTTAGAAGGCCAGTGTTCAAAGGATGTGAAGTACTTGCAGGTGTTCTCCTTATACATAAACAAATAATCTTGATTTCCACTTCATATATTTTGTTAGTAAAAATTTTGCATTTTATGTGCTCATTAATTATGTACTATTGAGAATTGTGTATTGTTTTGATATCTGATGGGGAAGCCTATATTCAGAAGAGATTTCAAGTGAAAAATGCTGATACTGGATAAGTTTCAGGACTTTTAAAGGTATTGGAATTAAGATATTCCTTCTAGACTCTTGCTTCATAATCCACTGCAAGAGAATGTCATATTGCTAGAAAAAAGGACGATTTTTTTACACAGCTTGATTTCAGTTGAATACTTTCAGTAACGCAATGTTTTCATTCTTTGTAAAACACATCCAGAAAATACTTTATATCTGTTACCTCTCAGCCTAGGTTGCAATTTTAAGACGTGCAGAATGGACAACCATTTGTTTCAAGATCTTTTAGTTATAGGTATTTTGATCACAAGAGGGTGTTTCTGTTTTTGGTTTGGGTTTGGTTTGTTGTTTTTTTTTTTTTTTTTGAGAATTTGGTTGTACCAAATGTTGTGAGTTTTTTGGGGATTATTTTCCTCAGTAATACCTGCCAGAATTAAAGTTTATTAAAGTTTTATTGAGGATTGTTTGAGAATTTCTGTATCTCATTATGGGAAAAAAGTGTCATATGTTTAAAAGAAAAATATTCCGAAGTGTCTTAAGATATTTGATGTGGAATGAAATCGTGTAAAAAGCCCACTTAGCTTGAAAACAAAAACTTAGTTTAAATCAAAAAGTATACTCCAAAGCAGTCATTAAAATCTTTTGGGAAAGGAACAAGGGCAGTTTTACATAAAAAGAGCAGTTCACGTTTTTAATTTCTTACAGAGATTTTTTTAAACAGGAAGCAGTTTCTAACTTTGTGTTCAAATGTATACATACCCTCATACATGCACACACAAGCAAGGACATGATTTCAAGTTAGCTTCTAACCATTCACTGATGAGTGCTGTTTAATTCACATAAAGAAACTAGATTGGTTTTTCATTAACACTATCCTTACATTGCGTATTATAAAGCAGTTTGTTTTACACAACACAGTATTAATTATGCCACTGAAAACAATAGCAAATATTTGCAACAGTAACTCACTCAGCATTATAACAAAGTCTTCTGTCCTTGAGTCCTCTCAAGTCTCTGCCTTTGATTTCATGAGTCTGTCCTTAGGGTTCTTGGAGAATGGACTTTGAAAGTACAAGCTATTATGTTATTGTTTGACTTGTTCATCCTAAGAATTAAGTCTTTTTCTCAAAAACCGTCTCCGAATCCTTGTCCCTTTATATTTATAAACCAAGCTCCACTCCAGTGAAGCAAATTTTCATACAACATCATAGAAAAAAAAGATTTGTCAAGACATGTAATGAAAATTACTTAAGCAAAACAAAGTGTTAATTATCATATGAATATAGTGGCTCTCAGTAGTCACACTTCTTATTGGGAAGATTATTGCAAGATAAGCAGTAGCTTTGTAAAGGTAATACAGGCTGTCTTACTGATAACACAAGCTATGTCCTCAGGGAAACATCATACATTCCAGCATATTTCAGGAAATTTCATAAATTTCAGCATATCTCACATATCTCAGATATGTCTGCTTCTCAGGATGGGACTTTGTTTTAAAGGAAATGTATTTTTGGTTTTCCCTGAAAGCACATGGCTTTGTCTCCTAGGTAAATTATATTGTCTTAAAAAAACCCCCATCATCTGATTCATGAGTCTTACCCTAAATCTAGTGGAGCTTGTTTAAACAGTCAGCTCTTCTTTAACATATCCTTCTAATGACACGTACGCTCTTACTGCCCTTTTTTAACCTTGTGACTCCTAGAATGCTCTCCATGGGTAAAGTAGGAATGTATTTACTAGGAAGTCTTTGTCATTTTCTTTTGAGCTCGGCAGTATGATTTCCACCCCCGCCATGGAGATACATAAAGGTTTAGAAGTTAAGCCTGGATCAGTGACCAGAACTGAATTCTAGATACACAGAAGGCTATGCAGGAGATACATATAATACGGTTTGAAGTCATTATTAAGCATTGCTGGGGTTTGTGCTGAGAAGAGGAAATCCTTAAAAGTGGTTATTGAAAGGGAGATGTAATACAATATATTTGAAATGTAGAAATACATTCAGATAGTATTTTAGCAACCTGAAAGATAGAAAGGAAGCTGCACTAGTTAAAAGGTAGAAGAACTTGAGGTTTGGCAATTTATGCATTTATCATATGCTTTTTGAGAATTCCTCCAGAAAATGGTACATTTTAATGTAATTTTTATTCTTCTTCTGGCACGTTGTTACAGTTCGTTGTTTTTTTTTTTTTTCCTTTTTTTAAGGAATCCAGAATGTACTCAGCTTATTCTGTGCCGTGCTTACAGAAAATAAAGTTCTCTTTCACTCTGCAAGTTTTCAGAGGCTCAGTGATGCCTGTAGGGCTCTGGAGTCTTTGATGTTTCCTCTCAAATATAGGTGAGTTGAGTTTTGAATCTTTGAACTCTTTGACTAATTTTCTAACTCATTTTATAACTTATATTACATTGTCGTTAACAAAAGGTTTGTGCTATGTTTGTTCAAATAAGCAAAGGTTTTCCTGATCATATATGCAAGTGCTAGTCTGTGCACATCATTAATAAAAATATGATTGCATCATGACAGTGGAAACAATAAAAGGAGAAACATCCAACCTACAAATACAATAGAAACCCTACTCACAGCATCAGTTGGATGGTAAAACTTGACAGTGATGATCCATGAGTAAATGCATGGAAAAGATGTGGGGGAGACCTAATCACAGCCTGCCAACAAGTAAGCGGAGGTGCGTGGCAGGAGAACAAGAGATTGGGGTCATAAACTAAAAACAGAGAAGAGGGAGCTTTCTGTCTGGATGCAAGGAAAACATGTTTTATTATGAGGATAACTAAGCAGTGGAACAGAGAGCCTGTGGTGCTTCCATCCCTGTAGGTTTTCAGGACCCAACTGGACAGAGCCCAGAGCAACTTGATCTGGATTCAGTCTTGACCCTGCTTTGAGCAAAAGGTTGGACTAAATGATCGCCTGAGGGCCTTTACAACCCAAAAGATTCTGTGATTCTAAGATAACATCTACATTAGCTTGTATCACAGTTTTAAGTCATTGACAAATGTCCACCAGAGAATGAATTTAAATGGACAAATTGATTCTCTCTAAAAAGCCACATCTGGATCCAGCGTTTTGAAATGGAAAACTTCATGTCAAGCTATTTGGCTTTTTTAGGAAGAAGACATCTAATTCTGACATCTGTTTTAAAAGATGCCTGTATTTTAGTAGCACATTTTTATTTAAAATATTTCAGAGATGGGCTTCATTTTAATGTAGAATAAGAAGGAAAATATTGAAAGTGAGTTTTGGAATATGTTTCTTAATGCTAAAATAGTAATGAATGTAAATTTTTAATAACTGTAAATTAGGTCTTGTAATGCATTGATCAATTTAGATACAGATTTTCATGTTGCTCTGATGAAATCGCTAATTTTTTTTAAATTGTCAAATCAAGTAAACAATATCTGAAATATAGAATTCTATACATAATGTTTAGCTGTCATTTCAATTTCAAAGCAAAAGATTTCATTTAAAGATTTCTTATTAATGTTATTTTACAAAAGGCTGAATTATAGGTGTCTGGCTAAAAACTAGCCAATACAATGTCCATATAAAATAAATGTTACAAATATTTTTTCTTTTCTTATTTTTATAAGAAAATATCTTTTCTTATTTTGCAAAATACTATTGTTTACAATAAATTGTAGACCCTATGATACAATAATTTCTGGAGTTTACATGACAGATGTTCTTTTAACAGCATGGCACTTTATAAAGAAGTATGCAATAAATACTTTCATCTTTTGTATTTTTAAAACAGATATTTATAGTAAATTTAATACGTAACAGGAAGATTTTTTTTTTTACAGAAAAAAGCTGCCTTATGTGAAGGGATAGTTGGGAGCTTCTTATTTTATTTTATTTATTCTTTCCACAGTTATCCCTATATTCCAATCCTTCCTGCACAGTTACTGGAAGTTCTCAGCTCACCAACACCTTTCATAATTGGTGTACATTCTGTCTTTCGTAATGACATTCATGAGCTTGTAAGTATGCCTACCCAGCATATTCATAGTCACAATGTCATTTGTGGTGTTTAGTTGCAGAGATTTTCCATGCTTCAGAGATGTTTATATGAACAATACATACACTTTTAAAACATTACCGTAGAAGGCAAGGCAAGACAATCAGGAGGAGAAAAAAGAAAAAGCGTCAATTCTTTTGTAAATACATTGAGACTATAAATTAGAGGAGGGAAACAATTTGATTCTAGTGCAGGATGGGAAGGAATGGATCCATTTCCAGCTTTGTCATGTATTTGTCATGAGTTTGAACAATTCACTTACAATTTTCAAATGTATCCTCAATTATTTTATTTTATCCTTACTTTTTAAGCATGTGCTTGGAGACACTGAACCAGGGTTAGAGAGATACCTAGAAACATGTAATTTTACTTACAGTTGTTCTCACTGTGTCCTTTTGCAAACAGCCTATTAGATCACTGAATACGAACCTGGAACATCCAGAAACAGAAGTCACTTTTGAAAGTTTGGCCTAATTTAACTTTCTTTGGTTTACATTCATTTCTCACAGCTAGATTCAGTAATATGAAGTATTTGGAGTATTTGCTTTATCAAAAGCATTCTATATATTAAAGTTAATACTGTTTTAATTTGTTTATTTTAACTTACGTACAGATCATGAAATTTAAACTGTTGTGTTTTTAAACTATGTTCATAGTATACACTACTGATAATATTTTTGTTTGTTCATTGCAGTTAGACGTAATCATAGCAGACCTGGATGGAGGCACAATTAAAATTCCTGAATGTATTCATCTTTCTCAGCTGCCAGAACCACTGCTACATCAAACTCAAATGGCGCTTTCTCTAGTATGTTTTGATACAAACCCCATTTTCTACCCTCTCACCTATTTTTCATTCTTTAAAAATGAATTTCAGTATTAAATCGCTTTCAAACACACTGGAAATGTGAGGTTAAAAACTACAATTCCTGCCAACATTCCTGGTTTTAGAAGAATTTATTATCTGAAGTTAGAGATATCATCATCAATAAATTACTACTAAAATGTTTTTTCACTATTCAAGAGGAAGTTAGTGATTTTTCCTTCCTAATAATGATTTTTAATAAGAGCTCAACCTCAGTGTTTGAGCAGCATTGTTACAATTCATTTTAGCTTCTTTACTGTTTTCATAAATTCATTTCAATTGTCTTGAAGTTTAACAAGTGAATAACGAATTAGTCTTCAGGTTTATTTGTATGATGCCCCAATATCATTATTCAAGAATGATTGATTCTATGTTAGGGAATCACCAAAAAAAGTAGTTCCATTTGTCTTTTTACTATCATCATCATAAGTTAGAAAATACTTTATTTGGAGGCTTCTGAACAAATCTTCTTACCTTAAAGAGAAGAATTTTCTGTCTGTTAATTTGTTTCAGATGAATCAACTCTAAAATCCCTAACTCCAATATCATTATTCAAGAATGATTGATTCTATGTTAGGGAATCACCAAAAAAAGTAGTTCCATTTGTCTTTTTACTATCATCATCATAAGTTAGAAAATACTTTATTTGGAGGCTTCTGAACAAATCTTCTTACCTTAAAGAGAAGAATTTTCTGTCTGTTAATTTGTTTCAGATGAATCAACTCTAAAATCCTTAACTATATTGATTAGCTTCATTGACTATAATAAGAGGTTTTGATAACTAGCTCACTTACAGAAACCTGAAGCTGAGAAATTAATCCCACTTTTGTTTCCATACAGTCTTCATAATTTAACTCAATCTATTATTTGAGGTACTTAATATCAGTGAATATTAATTTGAGAAAGAAGAAAAAATAATTTGTCCTTTCCTCAGCAAAATGAGGGAAAAAAATTTTGTTTAAAAAATTCTCTAGGTTTTGCATCCTGATTTGGAAACAGCAGATTATGCATTCCCTCCCCCGCGAACAGCTTTATCACACTGAAAAATGCTGGTAAGATTTCTGTGTTATGTCTGACTTCCTTAAGTAGAAAACTGTTGAAATTTTAGACTAACTTTCTTTTAAGAATTTCTACTTTGTGTTTTCTGTTCCATAATCCATATGCTTTATAGTATTATTGGTGGAGCAAAGAAATGCTATTGGACTTTGCATTCTGCCCTTTAATAGCATTCTAATGGGTTAGAAGTTTTTATAAACGTATTTGTATTAATATCGAAGCACCTTAGTTTCTTTTAATATTGCTGTCTGTTGGGTTAAATTTGTGCTGTCTCTGTTTTGTAGACCAGTAAAGCTACAGAATTTTGCTTTATAGTATTATTGGTGGAGCAAAGAAATGCTATTGGACTTTGCATTCTGCCCTTTAATAGCATTCTAATGGGTTAGAAGTTTTTATAAACGTATTTGTATTAATATCGAAGCACCTTAGTTTCTTTTAATATTGCTGTCTGTTGGGTTAAATTTGTGCTGTCTCTGTTTTGTAGACCAGTAAAGCTACAGAATTTTACACGAGTGGACATACTGGTCTTTTTGTGTATGTAAACGTTAAAATTAAGTTATAGACACCCCACCACCCCCCCAAGGAAAAAAAAAGTTCAGAAACATTAAAAATGTCATTCCAGATCTAGATTTTAGCGTACATATGAGTAAAGATAGATGTGGTAGCTGTGTCAGCAAAACATAAGTCAGTGGTTTTATAATAATAATAATGATGATAATTATGAATTGTATGCTTGCACATATTAAGGAAGGAGTTGTATGTTTTGTAATATTGGATTTGGCTTTAATGAACCTCAACCTGAATGAAACAATATGTAATTGTCTGTACTAAAAAAAGTCTGTAGAGAGTTTTCTACTAAAATCTCGTTAATTTAGATTAAAAGTAGTTTTTTCAGTTATTATGAAGCCATAATAACTTAATAACTTAACAACTTGGTAAAGCTGCTGGTCTTAGCTTGTAGGAGTGTCTAGAATTGAACATGAGTTGGTAGTCCAAACTAAACTCCAAAAGCCAATTCAATTTAAGAACACACCTCAGGTTTTTTGTGTAGGTGTATTCAAAAATGTAAAACTCTGAAGTGGTACAATATATTTATTGTTCTTATTTCTTGCTTTAAGATTGTTTTTTTTTTTCCATTGCTGAAGACAGAAAACGTCATCCAGATTTCATTTAAACTAATGGCAAAATTCAGCTAAGATCTCACTTTGAATATTGAAGTTATAAATTAATATAATTTTGTATCAATATAAGAAATATTGTTAAATCTGAAGGAAACGACCATGTTTTCAAGTAATCCAAAAAGTCAGGGTACAAATGTACCTGTTAAAATCCTAGAGAGCAGCCTGGACACAAAGAAAATGAGAATCTCTCTCAGTAAAGTGAACCCTTAGAAAATTAAGTTAAAAATAGAATAACACCGATCGTGTTCCAGAGAAGAATAAAGAGACATCTAGAAAAATATTCCAATAGGACAGCTTTATAGAATCTTGTATGTACCTAAACTTACTTCTTTAAAAAATCATTACAAGCTTTAACTTATTTAGGTTGTATTTGCTTCTTGATTAGCTGATCAGCAGTTTACCTGATTCGTTAATCTAATATTCTTTGTTGCTTGTAACTTTTAAAGTTAGAGTTTGTTTTTAAAAGTCCTTTGAGACACCATAAAATCTGAGGTCGTAAAACAACTTTTAGGACCTCAGGTTTTAGATGTGGCAGCAGTCTGAGTAGGTACCTGAGCTAAGATAAAATAACGTGGGTGGCACAGGATTTGATCAGTCTTTAGTTGCATCTGGGCCAGCTGAAGATGTCACTGCCCCAAGTCTGCCCCCAACTGTTCACATCATTTCCATTAACCAGTAGATGTTTATGTAAGCACTCACTCATTTAAATAAAAATAAACCAGGACTTTTTAAACTAACCCTGGCTTATTTTGGCTGCAGTAGATTGGCAAGTGAAGACATGAGTTGGAAGAGTCCTAGACAAGTAGCTGAGCAAACTCAGAGCAGTCTCCTCAGCTGGCAGAACCACAGCAGATGACTGTGGTGATGCCTGTGATGCTCTGAGCCTGGTTCCCCCAGCAGCAGCAATGCCAGCTTACGCTCCTGTGGTTCCCTGACACCCCTGCCCACTCCAGTGGCACTGCTTGTGTAGTGCTGCAGAGGTGCATTTATTTTAGGGAATAAATCCAGGCTAAAATACCCTCTTTTCTTTATTCAGCATCAGTTTTTTCTCGTGGCAATTTCTTCATGTGGTTCACCACATGACCACCCCAACAGTTACACTTGCATTGCCCACAGGCTGTTGTGCAGGCCTAGAAAAGAGCGGTAAGAGTAAAGGGGTGAATATGTACTAAATCTATCATTGCCATCTGCGGACAGCTCAGTGAAACTGTAGCCTCATATAAGATAACTTCATATGTGTACAAGTAGCTCCGATTCGTATGCTATACTGCTGCATTGTTTGATGAATTTGTAGGTGTTTCTCAGATAGCTTTATACAAAGCGTGGAAAAGTTTAGAATACAAAAATGTTTTGACAGCTTATTCAATTACTGCTTACAGGATAAAGAAGTGCGAGCAATCTTCCTTAGGCTATTTGCACAACTTTTCCAAGGATACCGGTCATGTCTTCAGCTGATCAGAATTCATGCTGAACCAGTAATTCATTTCCATAAGGTAAAAGAGAAGCAGTTACGTATATTTAGTTAGTATTTGTTTGTGTCACATTCCCATGGGCTTGCCTTTTGAACAAGTGTTAAAGTTTAAAAAAATAAAGTAAAATAATCTACATGTGATAAGCATATCATTTTGACAGCACTATATCAATGCATTTTAGTGGGACTAATTGCAGGGACAGTGATGAAATGTGAAACAAAGTTAAAATTTAATACAAAGAAACATTTGAGGAATCGTTAAGGAATTTTGAAAACATATGTATGTAATTAAAAGACAATACTTGAAAGTACTAGTTTTCTGTTACTGCCTGTGAGATTTATAAAATGTGTACATCAAACTTCCTGTTACATCACTCCTGAATTTAGGTATAAAAAGATACTAGGTAATATAAAAGATTTAATTAGAAAGTACCACATATTACTATAAGCTGGTGAAAATGTTTAACTGCTAGTATATAAATAGGTGGTTGTAGTTTTGATACTGATAAATTATGTGCAATTTTTTCCATCTTTATTGCAGGCAGCCTTCTTGGGGCAGCGAGGCTTAATTGAGAATGACTTTCTAACCAAAGTTCTCAATGGAATGGCATTTGCTGGTTTTGTGTCAGAGAGGGGTCCTCCTTTCAGAGCCTGTGATCTTTTTGATGAGGTGAAAACTGTTTCTATATTCCCAAGGAAATTAAAATCTAACTATGATATTTCAGCATGTGAAAAACTATTGAAATGCTTCTGAATCCTCACTGTTTTATGTATAAAGGTTATACTAAACTTCTCAATACTTATTTTTTACTAAGCATATATGTCTAGCTTACTTCCATAAAATTATGCCCTGCTCATGTGTATGAAGTTACAGTTGTATAAATCATGGTAATGCTGTTCCTATTGTCAGGTTTGGAACTTCATAATGCATCACATGTGCTAGTACAGAATTATTTTGAGTAATTTGATTATATTCTTAGAAACATTGAAAAAGTAATTGAGAAATATTAAATTAAATACATACCCAACAATATAAACTGGGACAAACGCTTTTTCTTTTTACTGTGCCCCGTATTTTTACTCTGCTGGCTTTTATTTGAATGTAGATTACAAATAGAGTTTGCTATTAATTCTTCATAGTAGTAGTATATATGAGAAATATGGATTGTGGTATTAGAAATGTTAAAGGAATGTTTTAGTTATGTAGGACTTTCTGTGTTAGGTAGGACTGTAAAATCTGGTAATAGAAACTCTATAAGAAAGTGAAAACGTTTCATGTTCCAGAGCAATGTGACATTGCACATTTTTCAGTGTTCAGTTTTCTTTGCTCAGTTTCAATTTAAGATTAACATTTCATAACTTAAATAGGAAATAAATTATTTTTAGTTGAATTATCAACATTTTTATTCTTTTTTTTGTTTGTTTAAAAGTTGGTAGCCTTTGAAGTCGAAAGAATTAAAGCTGAGGAAGGTAATCCACCAAAAATGATAAAACATGTTAGAGAACTTGCAGAACAGCTCTTCAAAAATGTAAGTTTACTATACCTGCTGCACTTTCAGAGTTGAAATAGTAACATTGAAAATCCTTATTTCTGAAATTGATCCAGTATCTGAAAACAGAAATGACTGCTTGTGGTAGTCATCATCTGCATTATGACAAAAGACTTTGGAACTTTAAATGTCACCAATTTTGTACATGTGAAGGAAATTCAACATAGTAATATTGATTTTTTTTTTTTTTTTAATGCTAATGTTGATTTACGTAGAACTACTGCTACTTAGCATTCTATTTTTTTTAGTGTTTATTCACATAATGTATATAAACTGTTATTTCTCTGCTGCAACCTGTCCATGCCAAATACATCTCTTCTTGCCTCTCAACACTTTTCTGTATGGAAACTGTACATCTAATTTGGCATAATGTATACTTTCAGCAGATCTTTCCCGCTGTACAACCCAGTCCCCATGGTTTGTGTGCTCAGCAAGCACTGTTTCATTTCTTACAGCCTGTTTCTTGAACTCTTTAGGTTTCCTAGAATACCATTTCCAGTTTCATTCTTGCCTTCCTATCATATTTCTTTATGTTACGTGGTGCTTTTGTAAAATCTCTTATCATTCCATTAGCTGTTTTTTTGTTGTTCTTTATTTCTTTTTTCTTTTTTTTTGGCATCAGCTAATCTCCCTCCCCCTCACACTTCCTGTCGTTGTTCAGACTCCACAGAGCAATATCTATTATGCAGTCAGTTAACACCTTTATCGCCGTTTCTTTTCTATATCCCACTTTCCCAAAAATATGATTTACATCTACACTTCTGTAAAAAAAATCATAAGAATTACGAAGTACTGCTAAGTTCCAGGGTGTTTGGGGGGTGTGGGGGAGTGGGTTGTGTGTCTTTTTTTTCCAAAATGAATTGCCTTTAAGCATTTTGTCAGTGTCAGTGCAATCTTTGTTTGGGGTAAAATTAGTATCTTTTCCATAGGAAATCCAAAACTTTACAACCAATGCATTCAGCAATCTTTTGTGTCAGTAGATTTTGGATGGAAAAATACATCTACGTATTTCAAGTAAATGGAATGTGTGAATAGTAAGGTGTGTGAAATGAGGTTAGTCTGGCTTTAATATTGTCTTTTGTTGCAGAATTTGTGTGTCTGTCTTCAGACACACTCATTCGCTCCATCTCTCTTCTCCTCTGAAATTGACAAATGACTGTTACACTATTTTGGAAGAAAAGATTTGATACACATTTTAATCTACCTTGTTGACAGTAGACACTAGAAGAGAGAGCAAATACATCTTTGTGGACTAAAACCATTTCACATTTAAAAATGTGTATGAAATGTCTCTTGTCCATATGTGATGTAGCATACTTATTGGAGTATCTTAACACTGATATCCTTACACTGACACTTCAGACTTACGATAAGACAATGTTATGTTGTGGAAAATGAAGAGGAACGTCAGGCATCAGAATATTTGTTACATAGATTCATTCCATCTATGAGATTTCATCTGTAATAAAATATTTTTATTTACTCCATGGTATACCTCCTCATTCTATAGCATTCTCTTAATGATAAGTACTGATGGAATCATCTTCTATTAAGAGCTAAAATTAAGTTGTTGGAAATAAAAACTTCTGAATAAATATTAAATTCTCTACTACTAATTTAATAGTGGTGCTGTATATAGCAACATGCATTTTCCAAATTCAGGACTTTCTTTCAGGTTAACACTGTCAGAAGGTATATTAGTTGACAGTTTTGCAACATTCAGAACTGTTAGTTTCATTAGAAAGTCAATGGGCAATATTAAAGTAAACTAGTCTGGTTCTTTTTGATCAGAATGCAGAGATGAGGGAATTCAAATTTGGGGAAGATATAGCAGAAAAAATGCGGTGTATTGCACTAAAGTTGCTTTAAAATCAATCTGTCTTTTAAATTTCCCCAAGAGCTAGGGCTGTAATGTTATAAGCATATGATTATTGTGGTACTGTCCCATAAATATGGGAAATTGCTGTGAACTGTATAGTTGAGACTGCCAAGTCCACCACTAAACTATGTCCTTACGTGCCACATCTACACATCTTTTAAATACCTCCAGGGATGGAGACTCAACCACTTCCTTGGGCAGCCTGTTCCAATGCTTGACAATCCTTTTGGTTAAGAAATGTTTCCTAATATCCAATCTAAACCTCCCCTGGC